CATTTGCAGTGAGCTTCTTTAGAGAAATATGCTGCTGTTAGGTGACTGTTACCACTTCCTGCAGCTCAGTCCGGATTTCAGCAAACATCTGGGCCCAGCAGGACACAGGCCTCGGGCATGCTTCACAATCCGCCTTTTGGTGAATATTCAAGTGTAAAAGAAAATCTCTTTACAGAGAGAAGAGAAGGAGCAAAATAAATTCTCACTTGAGTGATCCCTGCTTCCTCCTCTGCAAATAAGAGAGAAAGTGGTAAAATGTGGTGGAAGAAGAAAGACGAAGGAGGAAGAGGAAGCAAATAATGACTGATTGAGGTGCTGTGTGTCGTCTGCAGCTGAGTCTGCAGACCGTTGGGTTAGTGATGAACTCATGCAGGGGCACCGATAATGATATGAGTGAGTGTGTGCGTGCTCCAGGAATTTCTCATGTCGTGGAGACACGAAATCCACCTACACAGTCACATCTTTAGCAGTTGTCTTCATTATAGGGACAAAAAATAAGTCCCCATACCATAAGTTATTAAATCTTAAGTCAAAGGCATGTTTTAAAGTTATAGGATAAAGTTAGGCCGGTTAAGGGTTGGTTGTATAGGGGGCTTTTACAACTTCCTTGTTTGGTCTGGACCTTCTGTCTTTTCAGTTTAGTCTGAACCAACATAACCATTACCAACCAACCAAAATTATTTTACGACCAAAAGAAGTGGTCTCGGTTCATTTCCAGTGAGAATATATTTTTGGGGGATAATTCTGACTTGCGCCCAAATGCAGGAAGTTGAGACAGCATAAAACAATGGAGGCAGAAAAAGAAGCAGGAGCTGCCCTCAGGATTGCTTCTATTGTTCGCCTCTGATAATATACAGTTTAAACGATGAGGACGTTCATGTAGCTGGTAGCAATACCATGCAATACAGTGGGAGAGGAATTAAGAATCAGTGGGTTCATACATTTTCTCCTTTAAAAGGAAATAATTTTTCGATGCAGTTTATTCATAAAAGAGTACAGTAGTAGTAAACACGCTGACATTAGACACGCGGCCGTCTCCAAACCAATCAATGTCAAGTATATGTACTGTAAATCATTGTAAAAGCCAGTGTAGGTGATGGCGACGGGACGTATTTACGTCATACAAATGTTTAAATTCTAATGTGAAACAAAAACTAAGCAGATCAAATGAAAGCAATGTGACGAAGACATGAACCTTGGTTTGGATTTTCAGGTGTGAAAACGGCCCTTCGTCAACAGGACATGATTGTCAATATATTGTCCTCTGTAGTCATGGAGACACAACTCTGTGTGTGTTAGTGAAAGAGTGTGTGTGTGTGTTCCTTTTTTCCAAAGAAAATGAAAAATATCAGGGCCCCCCTTCTATGTCTTTGACTTATCAAGCAACAGTCCCACAGAACCGAGGACTGTCAGCAAGAAACGAAACCTGCAGAAATGTGTGTGTGTTGGGTCTAGTTGATAACTTGGGGCAATAGGGCGCTGGAGGGAGATGAAGCACTGCACTGAGGATGTGCTGGAAAAGATGGAAGCAACTCTGGGGCCCCAAAAAAAAATCCATCAGGCTGCAGTTTTTGAAGGACAGTTTCCCAATGAGAGTCTCATCCCATCAACCCTTGGGCTGGGCCTCTGTCTGGCCTGGAGAGAGCTCCTCCCCATGAGAACACGGCTGTTTCTGGCTGAAGGTTATAAGAGAGGAAAAAAACGGACAGGAGGAGAGAACAAGCTGGCGAGAGACAGTGATGGAGAGGTGGAAAGCTAACCTTTACCAGCTCTTGTTTTATGTCTCACTCTCTCCTCCCTCTCATGTTTATCAGCTGATATGAGCCCGTAGCTGAACACCCTCTCTCTCCTCTGAAGAGTTTGGCATAAACACTTCACAGTTACATGAAAGGAGGAGAAACTGTAACATTTCACACCTCCCTCCTTCCCTCCTGGTTTACCCAAACACACACACACACACCCACACATACACAGTTACCGACAAACTCGCCAGAAGTATGTGCGCACACACAACCACACATTCACACCTGAACGTCTTCTAAGGGAGTGAATAATTACTTTGCCAAAGGGCACAACTGTGATCCCTGGCTGGTATTTAAAGCCTTGTCACTGAATTTAAATCACCCTCCTCTCCATCGCTTCCTTTAGTTAAGTGGAAATCCTCTTTTCGGGCTAATACAGAGATCACGGCCCTAATGTCTCCATCATGGCCTCCAGCTAATACCACCACATTGCATGACACAGACACCACAGCTTGAATTTCCACATTGGCATCGATGTGTGAAGCTATTTGCTGTCACCTTCTACAATCCAAACTCAGCTCTGTGTTATTGTGCAATTAGATGCAGAGAGGTGTAAAAACCTGCAGCTTTGATATCAATTTCCATCTCAAACTCTTTTCTCTACTTAAGAATGATTTATTGATAAAAAAAATATCTTTCAAGCAGAGGTAGTGAGTGTTGATTTGATGGAGGTGTGTGTGAAATTCTGCCCAATTAGTATCATCATTTCTTTCCCTCTTTCCTCTGTGTTGTAGCCCTTGGCCATGTGTGATTTTTTTTTTTTTTTTTGCAACAAGCTGTTACAGCCTCCACCGAGACCCCCTGCTGTTTCCTCAACCCCTTTACAGCACTGTTGTGTGTCCCGTGATGCTCCATGGCTGAGGCTTGGCCCAACTGGATGTCTGCTCTACTCCAGGCTCTGTGATTGACATTTGCAGGGCAGAGCGACTGTTACGATGCTGGAGCATGAAACTGTGTGTGTGTGTGTGTGTGTGTGTGTGTTTTTGTGTGTGTGTGTGTGTGTGTGTGTGTGTGTATGTGTGTGTGTGTGTGTGTGGGCAGCAAGCTCATGTGTACATTTGCATTTACACATTTGAGCCTGCAGTAAGAGCATGACCATGACCACCCTGACACACAATCCAGAATATCAAAGAACATCAAGTCGTATTTGAATTCAGCGAATGCACCCATGTAAGATTCGATAATAAATTGCATCAGGATGGCGCTGGTATCCAGGTAACACAAGCTCTAATCAGTTTCTATAAGATCTGCAGTCCAGTGTCCAACATAATATGGAAACAGGCATTAATAATGGACTAGATTTGTTATTCAAAATGTATAAGTAATATATAACTCATGTCAATATGTATTCAGTTTCCCTTGGCATTCAAATCTTCCTCGAATACATTTTTCTCAGGGTGTAAAAGCTTCTGAAATCACATTTACACACCAAAATCTCTAAAACCCCACACTAATGAAATTTTCAGACAGGCAAGTGGGCTGCACCAACACACCTATTCAATAGTATGTTTGTCTATAAATCAGTCTTGTTAATGGAATTTTTTTTAACAAAAATTTGATTAAACACAAAATCATACCTGGAAGATTATCCTCATTGTAGGATTCACAGGCTGATATACTGTTGTCGGGGAGAAACCTGGTACATATTAGAAACACTCGACTGATGAAATCTCATTTTTTAATAAAACCTCAGGATCACTCTGCTTCTGTATATCATCACACTGATGCACCAGTCTAATCCTCTTCGATGATTTCAAAGTGTGAAAAAGAAGTGTGGTGGAGCGCCGACTTTGTCAACAGTGTTAGCGAGGGGATGATGTTGCAGGGTGCAATATCTACTGGCAGCACAATACTTGAGGTGTAATGTGTCATGGAGGAAAATTACTGATAATTATTACTCTACAGGATTAAATTGCAAACCAGATAGCCTTGTTATTCAAAAAAAAAGTGCTAACAAGGAGTCACTCTCCTCGTCTCGTCACATATTTTGTCTAGTTTTTCCAGACACGTTTTCATACCTCAAGGTTATTTTTCCGAATGTCTATTTATCATTTTAAGCTTTGCACGCCTTCTCCCGCCTCCTTGTGCCATGACTAGTTATTTTCTCAATTGACTATCAGCCAGCTTCTCATTACTCATGCTGAAATGCCCTTTCCATTCTGAGGAACTTATGCTCTTGAATTGTTTTTTTCTTCTTGGACAACCACAAAACTTCTGGTAAGTTCTTGTTGCACACCCTTATGCTCATCATCAATAATTGTTGCCTGCACTTTCCACCCTCTGTGTGTGTATGCGCACGTGTCGCAGTAAGTGCGTTCATGTGCATGTTTGACCTAGAATCCCGCTCTCACAGATTTCACATTAACCTCAATCCTGCTTTCTTCCAAATGAGATTTCTATTCTTCTGTCTCTGTGTTGACTTATTTGCCTCCCTTTCATCATCTCCGGCAAGGTTATCCTGAGGCAGGCAGCACTTTTATGGCAGCAAGGGGGCGTGGAGGGGGGATGGCGGAGGGCCGCCAGACATGCCTTAATCGATCTTGTTTTAAAGGGATGTTGTGAGCTGAATGTTTGAACCCATCCCCTCGTTAACAATTGTCTGGGATTTAATTAAAAAAGTAGAAAGAATTTAATGTCAATTACATCTTAAAGTGAACGGGGAGTACGGAGGTGCACAACAAAGAAACCGACAGTGAGAGAGTGGGGGGGGGAAAGAGAGAGGAGGCTAATTAGAGGATGGAGTTGTGTTCATGCATCATTCCAGCTGAAACATTTCCTTCCCCTCTCTCTCAACCCCATTTTCCTCCCTACTCTTTCCCCCTCTTATTTATCTCTCTCTCTTTTGCTCATTCCCTTTCTCTGCATGTATATCTGCAAGAGCCCTCAGCAAAAAAAAATTGTCACTTCCTTTTCTCTGCCGTCGGCTCACAGTATGGGTATGCAAATATGAGAAAATAGAGACTTCAGCATTGTTGACACACTCTTCCTACACAAGAAGCACAAGCGGATATAAGAGCGGAGTCTGTTTCTCTCCAACTGAAGTGGCTTAAGTACTTCTGTGTACTTTATTGATTCTTTTTTTTTTGAATGTTGAAAACCACAATAAATGCCATCATATCATCCATACAGTATATCATCCACATGACACAGAGAAAGAAAACCATGAGGAACAAAAAAGATAAAACAGACAACCTCCACTGCATGACCCACATTTAAATACAACTTTATTCAGATCTGCGAACTCTTAGTTTTTATATATATATTTATATATATATATATATATGTATATTCTTGTTTTTTGACAGTTGTGTTTAGTAACTATTCTTTGCTGAGTGGACCAGTGTTGTCTTGCAGTCTCTAAGGCCAAATATCCACATGTCCGTTGGCACTAGATGGGTCAACAGTAAGGCTGCTGCAGTAACAACACCATCCATCCCGCAGCAACGTGACTGTCTCTGAAACTTAGTCCAGCAGCCTTTCTGTAGCTGGCACCGGAGAGGTGGAGAAGGAGTCTCAATGAGAGTATTGCTGTAAATCTTGGGGGGAGTGGTAAGGAGCAGAGTAGGGGGCTTCTTCCCCACAGGCAGCCCAACATGTGTCCTTGTTATTTTCTACATGAGTTTAATGCTTCGGGCTTCTGTTGCCCAGTTCTGATCCCAACATGTGTGAGGATCCAACTTCTCTCTGCACGCACTGCAGGAGGTGGGAGGAGACGCGTATTGAGGTTACTGGGGCGTTTCTGTGTCGGGCACTCTGCTGGCATGCTCTTGAGGAGATTTCATGTCCTCACAATCCAAGGGCTTATGCAAGACGCTTTGAACAGGAGAGAGGAAAAAAGCTAAACCAGCACATCTTAAGACTGTGTCTGTGCACGCATTTGTTTGATGGGATATAGATATAGAGAGAGATAGATAGATAGAGAAGGAAGGGAGTGGTGTTCTCACAGCTGATGTTCAGTTGGCTTGGCGTTAAGCTCACGGAGATTAGCTAGCTTAGCTCAACGCTGTGTGCAGGAGGGCGGGCGGGGCAGCAATGAGGAACTACCGCAGGGTTCAACGTCAGGGTATGGGAGCGAGAGAGGGTATGGAGGCTGAGGCTGCAGCCAGCAGGGTCACACACAAGAAGAGGACAACAGCATGAAGACTGCAGGGAACATGGCTGAGCAACATGCAGACGTCTGGAGCAGGAAGGGGCAGAGGGTGAGGGAATGATGAACAGAGCAACAGGTTGTGGTTCACTCATGCCGCTCGATGCATTATACACATGAAGCTTTGTATTTCATTCAGTAGTACAGGAAAAGGAGCTTTAGACAAGCCAGCATCTATATTGTGTGTTCCATTACAACTGTTTCAAATAAATACTACATTAACTGTTATGCTGCTTTCAGACGTGCACTGAACTCTGCAGATACTCCGTAGCGGAGGTATACGTGTGAACGCAATTGTCCGAGTGTCTGCAGACTTTCTTCACCTGCCCTGCTAGTATAAAGTCCCTGGAAATTCTGGAGAATCTGATGTGTGAATACAGCAGGGGATCCCAGCTGGATTCACCTCGAGCGAGTGATTTCACATTAACATTAGTTAATGTGAAATCTGATGACGCTTCTAAGGCGTGACAAATGCAAAAATTAAAAAACGAAAAAGAAAACAAATATCTCCCTGTGAAAAAGCAGTGTCACACATAAGAAGACACAGAAGATGTTGAGAGTTTGTTGGGATAATTCCGCAGCAGAGTTATTCCTGCCTCTGTCTTCTACACCCGGGTGCTCCACCTCTCGCCTGAATAATACGGAGGATATGTTGCTGTTGTAAACACATCTGTGTAGTGAACCTCCCGCTGTGTTGTGCAAGTGTGAAAGGCAAACTGCCGCCAATTGTCCAGGTTTTACCTGCAGGTCATGTTTGTGGCAGGAATCAGAATCCATCTCTACATTCACTCTCTTAGGTGGCTCTGTGATTGATGGGAGACTCTTAAGGATAAATCCTCTTTGTGAGGTTCCTTGATTGTTAGACACTTCCAAGTAAAAGTCGATACGTATGTGTGAGGCAGACAGGCTGGTTCATCTATGAAATAATGGCGGTGATAAAACAATACAGTCACATGCAAGAGGAGACAGAGGCTTGACTCATAGAGATGAACAGCCTTCATCCATCAGTCCCCTTCATATTGCACATTGAGAGGACCTTTTCCCCATCTTTAAGGCTACATCCATATTACTACATTTTGATTGAAAATGCATCAACTCTGTTACAGATACCCCTGCCCTCCAAATTATGACAAAGTTTTAGAGTTGCTAAAACTGAGAACTTCGGAAACGCTGGTGGCTCCATTATAGTTTGAAAACTCTGCGGCTGCGTTTTAGTCTAGACGGGCAAAAGCTAAGATGTTTGGAAATGATGATGTAGACACAGCCGTTTGCTGGTTGGGTCTTTTACGGTCGTGATAAAGCCTTCATGGATTTGTCAGGCTCTCATCACATGACCACTTTCTGGAAGAGAACAACAGGCATTAGCTTTGGCTACCAGTGTAGAATGCAACAAGGATAATCAATTAGAGGCAGTGTTGAGCCAGTTGTTTTTACTATCTGTTGTGCAGATTAATTCTGCATTTTACAACTGATTACATGCCTATGCAATAAGCTATTATTCAAGAGATCTGCAACAATTCCTACTGTATATGAGTACTCGTTTTCAGACGTGTTAGGATGGGCGAGAATTAAAACTGACACGGAGCTCAAATGTTTTTGTCGACACTGGATAGAGGTTGTTTTATTTTGAAAACCTTTTTACAAATGACATTGTAGTAGCATGGATGTAGCCAAGAAGTATATAATAAACTTTGATGTGCAGATTTAAAGGATTGTATTACCATCTTTAGGTTTGTTTTCCCTTGTACTGCTCTCCTATCACACCGAGAGAAGATGAAGGATTTAAGTTTGTCCTTATGCTTCCCCCCACAGGAGGGGGGGAAACAGTGACTGCTGCACGAGTCCACCTGGGACATCCCTGCACAGCTTCAGCCAAGCGTGCACAGGCACAGATCTTGGCTATATTCCTGATAGCACACTATATGAGCATCACACGCGTAATCCGATATCACTGTTTAATGACTCTTCACACCTGTCTTGTGACTGTTCGTCGTTAATGAACCGAAAAATCATTGTGTCCTTACAAGCAGCATAGCAGTAACCTCTCAGCGCACAAATGTCAGGTCACCTAATTCATTGCTCCATTGTGCACTGCTCTCCTCTGATATTGTTTGTGAGAGCGACATGAGATGGGCCAGCCAGTGGCCATTTATCTTAATGAGAGCAGTTAACTCTGAGCTGAGCTTTGGCTGCCGGCTCCACACAAAAAACACAACAATCCTCCACGAACGTCCTCTTATCCTCCCACCCCCTGACTTGATTTTTAGGAATGCATTTCGCACTCTCGTTGAAACCTTAATTAGTTCTACAGGAGATTAAATTATATGTAATTATTATGATAATATTTTCATTTATTCAAGATAACGGGCCTACTTTAGTGAACACAGTATTTGTCAGGAGAGAGCAATCTCCCTCACACAGTCAAAGTTATCAAGGCGTGAAATCAGGAATCCTGACGGCAACAAAATGTAATCTTTTTCATACAGAGGGGACAATAGACGGAGCTGCATACTCTACATCTCCTTCTCCACTTTAATTAAAAGAGCTCACTGAATCTCTCCCTTTCTCACTCCCCCAACCTTTCTCTCTCTCTTATGTGTGGAGGGCCAATCCCGTCTCTATGCAGAATCTAGTTATTTCTCTCGCACTGAGCTTGTCTTAAGCCCTGGTCCCGAATCTTTGTTGAGCAATTGCTTTTGCTTGCAAATTTGGGATTTTTTCCCCTCTCCCTGTCTCTTTTCCCTGTATCGTGGAAAGGGAACTGACATAACTAAAGGATATATAGTAATTGCATTCTGCAGGTAAACACTGGGACATTGTCCTGGTTTGGATGCGTGGCTGTGAGTGTATGTGGACAGGGTGTGAGAAAGTGAGTAAGAAGAGGAACTTTTCTTTTATGTTGTTTGGGGAGTGACTTGAGCGCACATAAAAGTACATGCCCTTTAAAAAGAAAGAAGCTGAATGATCCTGTGGACTGGTACACTTTACATTCACCTGCTTTTTGTGAGGAAAGGAGTGATTTGTGTTCCCTCTGGAAAGTTTGCAATCGCAATTGTTTCCTTTACAGCTTATGGTGTTAAACACCACATGATGTCTGTAATAAAGTCTGAATTTTTTATACAACTCCCCAGTGACTCATAACACAGCATTTCACAGAAAATACTGCCTGGTGACTTTGCAAAACAGCAACACGGTGAAGGGTGATGAAAAGGACACTGAGACAACACTGACAAATGACTTAATGGTAGAGAAAAAATAGATGGTGAGAAGTTGGTATTTCGGATTGAGGTAAGAATGTGTGTGGTATTTAATTTTCACTACCAGCTCATTTAACGAATGCTGCAGTTAAACATTCCCAGTGCTTCACTATCTGCATATTGTCATTTTTGTTTTGCATATATGTTTTTACATCTTGCAGGCTACAGAGGGTTTTTTTTAAGATATCTTGCTGCCACTATGGTATTAATGACTTTTCTCAGCCCTGGTTTCCTGTTGCAGTAACGCCCATTCAGCCCCCTTATCCTCTCCTCTCCCACCTCTCCTCCCTTCACACAAGTCCTCTAGCCCGAGGGCAGATAGGGCATCTCGTTATGGTAGTTGTAGTCCGGGCAAACCTTCTGCACCAGGCGGTAGTCCGTACTGTAGAAGGATATATAGATGCAGATGACCTTGAAAGGCTTGGAGCAAATCCAGGACACATGGCTCTGAATCTGCTCCTGGAAGCAGGTCTTGGACGGGTCATAGTTGCACAGTGAGGTGCGCTTGCTGCGATCCACCTTCTCATAGTCCACGCGGCAGTTGAAGATCTTGGAGTCCTTAGGGTAGACCACGCTCTGACGCTCCAGGTCAAACTCCACTGCCTTGACAGGTGGCACCAGGCTGACTGAGATGTTGCCCTGACCTGTGGAGTTATGGCGGAAGTAGACGCTGAACGTGCCGTTACCATGGTCCACAATCTTGCCGGTGATCAGCAGGTTAAGCCTCACTGTCTTGATATTGGAATAGAAGTCACCCCAGCCAAACATCTTCTTGAACTTGCCGGTCTTAACAATTGGCCGGCGTTTGACCCTGGAGCTGGAGGCGTCAGGCTTGAGCAGGTCGCTGCCCAACATCTCCCAGAACTCCTGTTTAGAAAATTCCTGCTTGGAGAAAGGGATTGGGGAGCGGTAGGGCAGCTCCAGAGAGGTGTCATTAGCAGCTCTGCTCTTACTGTGAAGCATCCAGCGGCTCAAGGGTGAGAGAGGAGCCTGATCGCCCAGGAGGCCCAACGGCTTGGAGGAGTCATCTGAAGAGCTTTTGGGGCTGGAGGACTCATCTTCTTGGCCCAGGGCCACCTGGAAAGGGGAGGTTTGAGGTGGAGATTGAAGAGAAAATAGAGAAAGAAAGTAGACATCTGTTAGCAAGGTAGAAAGAAACCTGGACAGAAAACAAATTAAAGGTTTAATCGATACTTAATTTACAGTTCATACCTCTAGTGGTAGTAAGCGTGACATTCTATCAATGTTATTTATATTAATAAATGGTTGAATTTTTGCAGGTATTGCTATTATTACATTCTTTTGTTTACTTCGGCAGCAAGAGAAAATACTCCTATGTATAGTTTTCACCGAGCCCATACAATTCCCCAAGCTGGCTTGTAATGGACTCATGTGCCTCCCTTGAGCTACTGGTGGGGTCAGAGGGATCAGAGAAGAGATTCAAACAGAAAATCCACACCAAAACTAAACTCACATTAAGTGAGTTACTCCTCTGCTCTTGGGCAGTTTGATCAATATTTTATTATATTATACAAAGGCTGTAATTCTGTAAAACAGTAAAGGTCTGTCATTAAAAAATGCTTTCCAAAGTTGTTTCTCTGACATCAGAGGTTGGAGGTTGATTTATGCACTTAGCATCCTGATGCACCAAAAGGAGCAGGATTCATTCAGCCAGTTAGAAAACAACTCATTTTCTACATTGTTAAACTTTCAACGTTTCCCTTTCAAACACGCTACTTTTCACAGTGACAAAATCAGGAAAGGTCACTTGAAGATCATCCATGTATCTGGAGAATTATTCTCTTATAATATCAACAAGGAAATAAGTGGAAAGTAGACCGAGACTTGCTTTCTGGTTTAAAGTGAGCGCTTTGCTTCTAAAGAACTGCAGTGTGAGTACAGGGGAAACTATTATTGCCTCCAAAGATTTGGTCGGAGGATCAAAGTATATGAGCGGGGGAAGGTGGTGGTGGTGGTGGGGGGGTGCAGAGAATAAAGTATAATGTCCAATTAAGATTTCCGGTGTTTTAATTAAAGAGAGTGTCTGTATCGGCACACACACAAAGCTGTCAAATGTTAACATCAAATGAGGGGCGGGGGAAGAGGAGCGGGGGGGAGATAAGATAGCACTGCTGTGCTCAGCAGTAGCTTTGTTAAGAGTGTGTGAATGTGAGAGCAATGAAACGGCTGATTCTTCAACAGTAATGATCTATTAGCAGGTACCGTTGTTCTAATGTGCTACGGAAGCATCCGGAATAACTACGTCCTTTAGATTTAGCAGCTAAGAACGCACGCACGCACGCGTGCGCACACACACACACCACACACACCACACACACACACACACACACACACACACACACACACACACACACACACACACACACCATTTGTGAATTTTGAGTTGTGGTAAACGAAAACAATAAATGATGCAAATGCGATCGGTGGGGTAAGTTTGTGGATGTGTGTGTGATCTACCCGCAGAGATTTTACAGTGATGCATAATGCATGCATCCGTGTCTGCGCTCTGATCCGTCTACTGTCTTAACTGCCAGAGCTTCCTTATACTGGCTTAGTCAGGATTATTAAGTCGGACTCATTTTTATTCCATTTTTTTCCAGCTCGCTCAGATTTGTTCTCTTGCACTGCAGTCAGTCAGTGATATTGATTTTCTGTCCCTCTAAAAACACGTATTTCCTTTCATAACAACATGTATCGCATTTATACAGCCTTGCAAGGATTCCCGTTGATGTGGTTGTGGTCTGGTGTTTGGACTCAGATGAGCGAGCCCCCCCTGACTTCCCTTAATCTGGCCCCATTCCCTTGGGGGTGCTTGAGGCCAGACACCGTCTCCTCTAGTTACCTATGTGCTGCTACGCTTAACTGCCACTCAGATCCTTCAGCCTCCCCACAGGGGCCGATAACAGTGCTGACAAGGACTCCTTCCTCTTGAACCAGATAGTTTTCATAGTTTCTTGGAGAAACTCATTAATAATGAACAAAAATTTGGAAGGGCTCAAGACATAGATTCTCATCGATCTTTTCATCAAGAGTCTCTGTTTTTCAAGGCGGGGGGGAGTTGGGGGCCAGGCAGGATGTGTTTGATGACAAAAACACCCTTCACTAGTTTGTGTTTGATATCTCCTCTCCAACGAGCCAGTGGCTCCCTGGGCATTGAGGGTAGCACTTTGCCAACCTCCCCAGATAGCACTTAGGAGCCCCTGTGGCTTCTTAACAAAAAGGCCCTTTTGGGCTCTTGAAAAATATGTCACTCTTTATTTCTCTGAAACTGCCCCCTAGTTTTTAAGATCATGATCATTCTGCGAGCTCTGTTGCTTGTCCAAAGTAAGTCTCAGATGGCACCAGCACTCCTATCTGAGCAAAAACATATTGCTGGATGCTTTGTTGTAGCTTACATATTGAGTAAAGCATCCTGCCGCTCGCTCACACAGTCTTCATTAGAGAACCTGAGGCCAGGCTGAAAGAGGAGAGATGAAGAGGGCATTGTGCTATTGTTGGACAAAAGATTTAAGTGCCTGGCACTGCTGGAGGTTTCACATTCACTGTGTAGCATCATTGTCAAAGACAAATGTTAGAATGAGCTTAATATGGCCATGAAAAAATGGAGCCAGAGCTGTAATGATGACTGCAGTGAGAGAACACACACTGTACAGACTTCCAATCCACCATGATGCTGTTTAACACAGGTGTGATGTCATTTTCTCATGTTGTCATACATGGCCTGCAATTATGGATTTTAAACAATAGTTAACATGCTTTCAAACTTCAGTATATCTGGTTAGTGATGCATATTTAAGGTCATTAAGGTCAAACATTAAAGAACAGTATAGCAAGCATTACTTTTTCATTATGAAAAACTGCATAGTGGTACAAATCTCTCATCACTGCATTTAACAAGTAGAGTATATGAGGTGTAAGATTTAACTATCAGCACGCTTCCATTGTACATTGACTCATGCAACGAAAGCAATCTGAAATGGTGTAAAATATAACGAGTTCACTTTTGTTTTCTACACTGTACATATATCCATGTTAAATCATCTACATAATGTAACATGTTGCGTTGAAAGGCCAGTTTGAGTTTCTTTTAGACTAAGTTGGTTTTGTTTCCTGAAGCTTGGCAAGACATATTTAGGTTTAAATGCTGTAGGCAAAGAGTGGGTGATGGGCTATCAGGTCTTAGTGAGGGGGCGGAGGTTCGGGCAGATTTTGTCATTTGTCATGTGCGCTAAGTGAGTCAGTGAAACGGCAGGAGAGAATGGGAGATGGCTGCAGGCTCTGGCGCTGTGGTAATTGTGAGTAATTCAGCCTCAGTGAGCACAGGCCCCGGGACTGTCTCCCAGCAGGGAGTGTGGGGAGGGGTGCACACCTCTCAAGCCTGCCAGCTCCACAGGCAATAATCATCCTGTTACAGTGACAGGTACACCGTCCTTACCCCCCTTCTCCTGGTGACAGAGCCACACTATTGCCATCATACAGCACAGAGATCAGGGAGCTGCCTAACTGGAATTTATACCATAACTCTCAGAGATACAGAGGACTGGTGACCAACCAGTATGTCAACAAGAAGCAGAATTGTACCAAAATATACTTGCACATGAGAATACACATTCAGACTTAACTTGTTGATTACCTGAAAATTCACCATTCTCTGGTCAGACCTGATTTTTCTGATATTTAACAGATCAAACTATTCATTTATAACATTGACTTATATGAATATGGACCAATTTATCACCTTTTAGATCATTTTTTTGGTATGGTTCAACAAATTCCAGTTTGTGGTCACAGCAGGCAGCTGTTAACAGAAAATCATCTCGGAAAACCTACTGCAAGCGCAACAAGACAAGCCTGATAGATCCCTCAGGAACTGGTGGAGACTAAAAGAGCTAAAAGAAGAGATAATATGGAACATGAATTCTCAAATCTAAATCTTTTGAATTAGAAGTAATATCTGTTTGTATGTGTAATGCATATTTTAAGAACCATTTTCACCTGGCTTCACACTTCATGTGTGTATTGTTTAAGGCCCAAGGAGGTGCATTGTCGGATTTGGTGCAGGTTGGACACAAGGTATGTATAATATTATTCAACTTTGAATAAACGGGACTCATCGATGTAAGGGACATAGATCACAACTCAGCTTCAGGGTACTCACTTTACTTGTCTTTACTTATTTTTACTTGTCGCGGCTCAAATACGTCCAAACAAACAGCCCATTCCAAACAACAGATTAAGAACATCTGCTGTGCTAATTAATACAAATCGTTATGTTGCTCCGTATCTGCTGGATATTAAAAAGGGCAACTGCTGGTACCAAGTTTACTTTATTCACTTTCATAGTCATAATATGTCATTGAAGAATAAATCCTTAATTGTATCTAGATTTATTTGACAAATTCAGCTGCCAAACACACACAAAACTTTCTTTCTGCAATGGAAATGAAAAACAATTTGGAAGGTTTGTCCCAACACTGCTGCAGAAATTCCCACAGACATGTTGAACTTGCAGGTTGTTTCGCTTTCACCTTCTGTCCAGTTCATCCCAAACCATTTCCACAGGGTTTAATTCTGCAGACTGTGCTGCTCTATCATAGGAAGCCACGGTCTAAGTTCTTCTCCTCTGATGTTGTTTGGTCATAACCGTGCTGTAGGATGAAGCCCTGACCAACCTAACTGTTCTCCTTTCCTCTGCTCTCATACTTTTTTCTCTATTTTCTGATAGATATATACAGCAGTTCGTCCTGCACTACGCTATTGTCCTAATAATACACCTGAGGGTGCAGTAACACAGTTTGGCCCAACACTACCTTTGCACAGTCAGAGTTTGTAGATAACAAACAAAATGTGAGGCCTCTGTCGGAAAAGTTTGTGTTTAGCTTAATTTACTTTGAGGAAAACTGTAAATAAGCTCTTTTCTATCAAATTGATGTAATTTTTCAGTTTTTGGTGACCTAAACCTTTTCGTTTTGATTTACCTTAGGCTGTTTACTGTTTACCTTTTTTATGGATTCACGGTGTGGAATAAAATGAATTGATTAATTGATCGATGCAGA